TAGAAAGAAAGAAGAACAAGTCTTCCCTGGTGGCGCAAGGGTTAAGCTTGAAGCAATCCGCAGCCTCTGCAGCACGAGTTCAATCCCCGGCTGCCAGGGAGCTACCCACAAGGCGCAGCAGACCTCGCCTCTCTCGCCCGCTGCCCCCTCAGCAGTGTATATTTCAATCAGTCTGCCTGTTCTGCTCCCCACTCTGTCTCTGGTGAATCCTCTCACCCCCCACATCTCTGGCCTGTACCCCAGCTCTTGTATCATAAATAAATAAATCTTTAAAAAGAAAGAAAGAAAGAAAGAAGAGCAATGGCGAGAGAACAAGGATGCTAATAGCTACTGTATCAGGTATGCTCAGTCAGGTAATTCAGAACAACCTGGACAAGAAGCCACGCCGGTTCTCATCCTCCAGGTGAGGACGCTGGAGCTTGGTGTGTGGGAAGCGCTGCTGGCCTGTGCTGTGAGCTGCAGCAATGGGCTGTGGACCCATTCCTGTCTGATCACTCCAAGGCGCTTTTCCTATTTGGTCCACGTATAAGTAGATGAGGCACAAGGGGTGCCATACACCCAGACACGGAGGAAGAAGCTCGATTGGGAAAGTGGGGCTGACACCAGCAGAGTATGGCAGGACCACCGTCACTGCGAGCAGAGCCACAAAGCAGCGATGGGGCTCACGCGCGCGTGTACCTGTGCAAACACAGGGAAAAAGCAGATGCACAAACACCAAATAATGGGGGGCGGGGTGGGGGACAGAAACGTGTTGAGTAACATTCCCCCCTGTGACCCGCCACAGAACTGCATGGAAGATAAACTGCATTTTCACAATATTAGGTATGAGTGATATTAGAGGCCGACCTTGGTACCAGAGACTTCTACCCTAAACGTGTCCATGTCAGAGATGCTGCAGCTAGTTCCCTGCACGGAGGGCCCAGCCAGGCCAAGTTTCCTTGCAATGGGTGGAGGTGGTGGGTGATGCTGTTTGTCCCGAGTATTTGATGTCCATGTACCTCCCCTGTGCTCATCAAATAGTGAGACATATTGTTCGTTCTAATTTTGTCTACATAACCTGTGACAGTTTGGACATGAGTGACTTGATATTTGATGTTACTTAGGGCGCTGTGTCCTCACAGGAAGAACAAGTTACAGTAAAATGAGATTTACCCAAGGGTGTCATGGTAAGAGAGGTAGGAGAGCAAGATGCCAGGAATTCTTAGATTCTGGAAATAAGCTTCTTCTCAGAAAAGGCACTATATTTAGTATGAATTTGTGTTAGCTAATCAGGCAGCTCTCCAAAATAACTCCATTGACCTTTGATTTGAGCAAAAGACTAGGTTTTGTTAGTCTGGTAAAAAAATTTTGTTACTCTTTTTAACATTAATTTTAATTGTATATATGATACACAATTACCTTGCCCTCCTTTAAAAAATACATTACAGATAAGATCACTCCCACCCTTTTTTTCTTCCTCATTCTTTATCAGTACGGTATTTATCTCTCTAGGTGATTTTTCTACCCAGTGAAGCACACATATATACCTGTAGAAAACACTTCTTCTGTTTTGTTTCATGCTGCTGCTCTTCTACATAAAGGCCAATGAAGTGGATCACCTGGGTGCAGGTGAGTTCATCTGGACCTGTCTCATTTGCCCTCCACCTTATCCTTGTTAACTTCTGTGCAGGATTTCATAAATGGCTGCTTGATGGTTTAAGAAGATATTTTCCTACCGGTGAATATTTACAGTGTTACTGCTGATTTGCTTTTTGCCTTAAACCATCATGCCTTCAATATCCTTGGACACACTGTGTAGTACACGCCTGCAAGATTTGTTTGAGGATGGATAATGAGATGCGGTGTTTCTGGGTTACCAGACATTTAAAACATTGCCAGAGACTGCCCAGGTTGCCAGCAGCAGTGCGTGAGACCCTAGACCCTCGTTTCCGTCCGCCCTGCGTTAGTTGTCCTCGGAAGTCCTGAAGCTACATTTCTTCACTAAAATTCTACCAGTCAGGCTTTTTACTAATTTGCAAAAAATGCTGTCCAGCCAGGCCTGATATTCCTTTTAATTAACGTTGATGATGCTGGCAGAACTTTCGCTTCATTTACAAGTACTCCTTCCCTGTGGCCTTTAGATTTAATTTATGAGCAGTATTGATTGGTTCTCCAAGGGAGACATTGTATAGTAGGTGGCTTCTGCTAAGAGAAACTAGCTTGTTCAAGATTCTAGGCACGGGCTGAAAGGTCAAGGGATTATGCAAGAAAATATTTTTTACAGAAAGGGTCAATGTTTGCATTTCTGCCAACATTTCCACATGTTCTGTAGTGACAAACCCTTTGCCCTGTAATGGCAGTCCGTCCGAGTCCACTAGCTTCCCACAACCAGGATGCTATAAACAGCTTCATCAAGCTGGTATTTAACTGTGGGCCTGGGGCTTTACATTTGAGTCTTTATGAGTCTTCCTCTCATTCTTATGTTACGCTGGTCATTTTGCAGAACAGAAAACTGAAATTCAGAAGTTAAATGACTCATCTCAAGTGAAACCAGGGATGACACCCAGGCTTAAACTCAGGCCTCTAAATCTCTGCGGTCTGCTTTAACACAGAGAAAGTGAAATAGAAAATCAGACGATAGTGATTTGTGACAATAGAAATGGTAGAAAGACTGAATCAGTGACCAATGTGGAAAGTGTGAGAGAGTTAAGAATGAAATAAATGCATGCATTATGTAGAGCTCTTTGCATTTGATGAAAAGTTAGATGTGTGATACGATACAGCATTTAAGAACATGTTCCCTGGAGTCAGATGATCTGGCTGCAAATTCTGGCTTAGCTGTGTGACTTTGGGCAAGTTACTTACCTTCTCTGTGCCTCAAGTTTTCTCCTCTATAGAGATTAAAAATAGCATATGTTTCAATGGGTTTTTGGAATGATTAAAGAAGAAGGTATTTGTAAGACAGTTCTATAGAATAGTGTTTGGTACACAATGCATATAATAAACATTTGTCATTATCATTACCATTGCATCGGGTCTTTGCTATTGTTATTCTCATTTTATGGATGATGAAAAGGAAACTAGGGAGGTTAAGCTACTCACCCAAAATCAGGGAGTTAGTGAGTAACACATTTGGACTAGAACCTGGGTCTCTGCCTTCCTGTCCAGGGGATTTCCCATTCCTAGTGCTGCCTCCCAACTTTACTAAATACAAGCAGAGGGGTCATTGGAGGCCTTGGAATGTCTGTGTGAGAAAAAGCAGGGTCAGGTACAATTCACACTCTTCCTTCTTGAGTATAAAGCAAAGATCTGTAGAGGAGGAATTTCAAGAACTTCAGTGCAGCTTCTGAAACATTCTCCAACAATTCCATCCACTTCCATGTCATGAACTTTAAACTAGCATGTGAATCTATCTTTCCAATCTACTGCTCTTTCCTTTCATCCCAGCCCGAGACATCACTACCAACTATCTTTGTGTATCTCTGGGAACCTCCTATGAGGCACCCTCCATTCACACTTCCTCCCCGCTATAGCCAGAGATATATTTCTAAACATAAACCTGATCACATCAATTTTTCCATTAAAATCCTTCAGTGCTTCCCCATGCCTTGAGGACATTCCCATGCCTTAGGACTTGGGCTAAGATCTCTTTGAGACTGTGCTGGAATTTAGTCTTCCCTCTGTTTCTGTCTGAGACCCTTTGCTTTGAACTTTCTTATACTAGCCAAGTCCTGCTTATTCTAGCTTTAGCTTAGAACTCAGATCTTCTGAGAAACCTTTGTTTGCTATGATATCCCCCCACCCCCAAAGCACCCTCTTCCTTGATAGTATTTGCCATGTAGTAGCATAATTGCTGTGAGCTTGCTGGTATGGGCCATACCAATGGAATCTGGGCTTCCTGAGCCTAATCTCGATGTTTCTCTGTTTCACTGTTACTCCCATTACCACAGGGATTGAAAGGAGTTACATATCAAAGGTACAGACACTATTGAAACTGAGGAAGGGCTGCTACTGCCAAAGAGAAACTTGTAGGTAGAGTGAGAAAATAGAATTATTAATGCGAGAAACATTCAGAACATTCCCCGGCATAGTAAAAGAGATTGGCTAGGGGGCTAGGAGAAGAAACAGAAACATCACGGTAGGAGCACAAATTGTTAAGTGGAATTAGGATGAGGGGGGACCTGGGGTGACTGCAGGAGACAGGGTATGCCGATAGAGGTGGCTTCCAGAGCAGGTGGTCATGGGTTAGGTGACCAACTACCCCGGTGCCTAAGACTAACCCGGTGTTAAAACAGAAAGTTCTGTGCACCAGAAAACCCTCAGTCCAGGCTAACCTGGGTGGGGGTGGGGGGTGGGGGGGGTCACCCTATGGTTGAATTGTTTTGGACAAGGGCTACCTCTCCCCGGAGTTGGAAGGGATGGTAGAGAGGTAGGTAAGGGCACGACTCAAAACCAAAACCAAAACCCAAAAACCATGGGCTTTGGGACCTGGGTAAAGCTCTGCTTCTTGGCTGTGGTTGTGCAATCATGAAATGCCTTGATCTCTCAGATAGTTTCCTGTAACTTGAGATAAAGCCACAAGAATAGACCACGTGACAGCGGCGACCCAAACTAGAGTCAACATTCTTCCGGCTCCTTTCTTCTTAACTCTCGCCGCTGCTCTTGTCGCCCCCTCTTCTCTCACCCTCGATTTCTCTCCTTGACCTTCTCCAGTTTTGTCCTCCCTGCCCCGCCGGCTCCGCATTTAGCGCCCACCCACCGCTAGGGGAAGCGTCGAGCCGCGCAGGAGCGCGGCCCCTCTAGCTCTCCCGGGGGACTCTCTATGGCCCCGCCCACGGAGCCGCGCGGAGGGGGCGGGCTCCGTCACGTGACCCGGGCGCCCCGCTCTGGCGCAGGCGCGTCGGCCGCGTCGCCGTCGCCGGGTCCCGTCGAGCGCGCCGCGCCGCTTCTCCGCGCCCGAGGCGACGGCCCGGCGGTCCTGCGGCTCCTCTCCGGCTGCTGCGGGCCGCGGGGCCGAGGCCATGTCCCGAAAGCAGGCGGCGAAGAGCCGGCCCGGCAGCGGCCGCGGGAAGGCCGAGACCGAGCGCAAGCGGGACGAGCGGGCGGCTCGTCGGGCCCTGGCCAAGGAGCGGCGGAACCGGCCGGAGTCCGGCGGCGGCTGCGAGGAGGAGTTCGTCAGCTTCGCCAACCAGCTGCAGGCCCTGGGGCTGAAGCTGCGGGAGGTGCCGGGGGACGGGTGAGGCGGGCCGGGAGCGCGGGGGGCGGCGCCGGGGGTCGCGCCGGGCTGGGCGACCGTCGCCCGCTCGTCCTCTCATTCATTCGGGCGGCCCCGCGCCGGCCGCGAGCCGGCAGCGTCCCCGGCCCGGGGTCCGGCGCGGGCCACGCCCCTCGGGGTGAGCGCGGAGCCCCGGTTTTGCTCTAATCATGGCAAAGGCCGCGAAGAGACGGAAGGGGTCCTGAGCATCCTGGAGCAGGTCTCCTTTAGATCGGTGCCCAGGAAGGCCTCCTGGAGGGGGGCATTTGAGCGGAGAGCTGATGGCATGAGAGGGAGCGAGTCCCTGGGAGAGCAGGACAGCACGTAGAGTCCTGATGACAGGGAGACGATGGGAAAGGCGTGCACCCCATTTGTATAATGCTTTGCCTCCTTGGAGTCCGTCCTGTTGCGGTATTGCCCCGCTCTCACACTTGGGAAGTCAGATCTGTGAGGGCCTGTTGTTTATTGCGCTAACGGCAACTTTTCTAGTTCTTGTTTTCATGGGCCTCCCTTTCTGCAAGCAAGGGTGCTCACGCAAGCTTGCTTTGGGCTTGGGCAGGAACCTAAGTTCAGCTTTTTTAGGGAACATGGGTGGGAGAGAGGGAAGGGAATGTGGCGCAGGAAAGGGCATATGGATACAGGAGCATGATTGGAAGAAGTGAAAGGCTCGGGGAGAGGGAAGGGGAACAGTTTGCATCCCCATTGCAGGGTTAGGTGAAAGGAACTCTGGTTGCCAGGTGCGCCACTCTGGAAGAAGCAGTATTAGCAACAGCCTAGCTGTTGATTTTCCTTCGTTTGAATGCTCAGATTGGACAGGGGAAGGAATAAGATGGAAACTAAAGACCATGCAGAATTGGTGTAGCTAATAAGTGTGGAAAGGAGTTTTCTAGATTTCACATTATATTGCATCTTATTAATCAGATGTATTAATCAGTGTTTATGATCTGGCCTTGATTTCCTTTTCCCACCTTTCCTACATATTCTCATTGCTTCAGGCAAATTGGATTTAGAACTTGATTGCATTTAACCATCACTTAGCACAGTGCCTGATATATGGAAGGCAGCATTCAATACATTTTTTTTTTTTTTTTTTAAAGATTTATTTATTTATTTATACAAGCACTGGGTACAGTCAGAAGCGCGGGAGGGTGAGAGAATTCACCAGAGCCAGAGCGGGGAGCAGAGCAGGCAGAAGGACCGAAGTACACTGCTGAGGGGAGCAGCGGGCGGCAGGAGAGGTCTGCGCGCCATGTGGGACCCTCCTCCGGTGGCCGGGGAGCAGCCGGGGATCAAACCAGCTCTGCGGAGGCTGCGGGCAGCTTCGCAACCCAGCCCTCAACCGCTGCGCCACTGGGGAGGCCCTCAATACATTTTTGTTGAATAATTTTTGTTGAATAATTCAATACATTTTGTTGAATTATAAAATTATAGATGAAGACCAACTAGACCCTCAGTAGGGCCTCTCAAAGGGGCATTCCTTAGTGGAGTCACTACAGTTAAAGGCTTGCATTTAACCTAGTATCTTGACTTTTTCAAATACAAAGTTTATGAACCATTCAGGATCTTAATCAAATTCACAAGTGCAGAACTGCTGTGGGAACCAAAGTGAATCGAATCGAATACAGTGGGACGGGTTGGGGCTCTTCCTTGCAAGTGGTTGGATTGCTTGTGTCTGTTATTCTGGGCACCATATCCTCAGTGATGGTGCCAAACAACTGAAGTACTAGCAGAAGGTTGCTTATGAGCAAGAATCACCACACAGGGAGTTAATAAAATCTTGAGGGAGCTTTCATAATGCTGCAGGAAAATCTGGGGGTGCTACTTTTATCTCCACCCCGAAGAGAGCCTATTTTTCTTTCGTTAATTCAGCAAATGTTGGTTGAGCATACACTGACTGAGATACATAAGTAGTTCATAGCCTAATGAGCGAACACGTAACAGCAGGTCTCCAACATTTTGGTCATTGGACTCCTTATACAAATTACTGAAGACTCCAAAGAACTTTTATTTATATGAGTTATAGCTACGGTATTTACTATATCAGAAAGTAAGACAGAAATATAAAATTCAGGAGTACACAGTTTCATTAGCTGAGTGATAACCTCCTATCAATTCTGGAAGACCCCACTCACTGCACATATATCAAAGAATGAGAGTGAAAAGATAAAGAACGTCTTGATTTTGAATTCATGAACACAGGACCATCTGAAAGGGTCACCGAGTCACCTTTCTCCCCCCAAGCCCACTCAGATGGGCCACACTTTGAGAACCGATAATATAATCAAATACAGTTTGGTATAGTCTTAATAGTGACCTATTTTATTGGCACTGTTGAAAAGGAAGTGGCTGGTATTCCCTGAAGTGGTCAGGGAGATCTTCTCATTCATTCAGCAAATGCTGTTTGAGACGTACTAACCTTACTGAGGCTAGATGCCTCTGATTCAGACTTATGGTGGACCAGTAGACAATATTCCAGATGGAGGTGGTATTCACCATTAGTACCAACATTGCCTGCATATCAGCTCCATCACTTGTCTAGTTCAGTGGTTTTCAGTGTTAGTGGTATAATAGAGTCACTTGGAAAAAACAGAGTGCTTGGGCTCAGCCCTAGATCGAATATCATGCAGGGTGGCCTGCTTATTGACAACTTGAAAAATGTCCACAGGTGATTCTAATATGCAGCCATAATTGAGAACCACTGACTTAGAGTCTAGATTCTAGACTAGTGTTTCCCAAATGTTTGCACGCTACAGCATCATCTAGAGGGCTAGTTATGACACTTGGGGGATTAATGCTGGGTCCCAACCCAGTGTTTCACTCAGTACACTAGACGTGGTCCCAGAATTTTCATTTTGGCAAGTTCTCAGGTGATGCTGGTGTTGCTAGTCAGGAATCACACTGGGAGATTCGGTCATCTAGACCAGTGCTGTCCAGCAGAAATAAAATGGAAGCCACAAAATGAAATTTAAAAATTTCCCAGTAGTGACACTAAAAAAGGGAAAAGAAACAGGTGAAACTATTTTTCATACTTAAATTTTTAAGCTACTGTATTTTCAACATATAATTGAATTTGAAGCTAATGAGATATTTCCATTTTAAAAATACTATTTAAAGTCCAGGATTTTACACTTCTAACATACTTTAACTTGGATCGAGCACTTCTCAAGTGGCTGCGTGTGACCACCACATTGTACTGCACGGATGTAGACAGTTCCCGAGGATTGCTTATAGATGGGAGCTTACAGAACTCTTGAATCTGTACGGTCTGTCGCCATAGAACTAAAATGAAATTTACTTTTTTTTTGTTGACATCTATGTTTCTGTAGCTCCCATTTTCTAGTGTCAGTTGTATTGACAAGTATAACCTCCTTTTGCAATGACAAATAGTTGGAGGCAAATCTCGTGTCCCCTTGAACCTTCTGCTGTAGGCTCCAAGCCACTGTGTTCTTCATGCTATGTAGTTTAAAGCCACACCATCTCCTCTGAAGGTGACCCTGAAAATGTCGTAACCAGAATAATATGGCACTCTAGCTGTTATCTGCCTTCAAAAACCTACCCCCCTTTTTTGCACATTTATTATTACCGCATCCTATGAGCCCATTGATTCTGTGATGTCTATCAGTATTTTCTCATAGTAAATGATGGAACACCCCAAACCTTTTCATGCTGCTTATGTAGTTGGTTGTTTTTGTGAACTCCAGTGCAAGACCTTACCTGTATCCCTGTAGTGCAGTGATTCTCAAGTGGATATGATTTTGCTCTCCCTGGGGGACATTTGGCAATATCTAGAGACGTTTTCGGTTGGTTGTCACAACTGAGGTGGAGGGAGGCGGTGGTGATGATACTGGCATCTAGTGGATATAGCTGAGGACGCTCCTCAGTACTCTGCAGGGCACAGGACAGCTCTCTTAACAGAAAATTCTCCCCAGTTGTCAGGGTGGGGAGTGGGGGTGGAGTGGGGTTGTGAAGCCCTGCTAGTGTAACAGATGAAGGGGTGGGTTCGGGAAACAGCTGGGAGCTCCTGTGGGTCCTTGGGGCTCTGGTCGCTTTGCTCTCCAGGGCATCCTTCGTGATTTTGCTGGACTCCCTGAGGGAACCCAGGTTGGCTCTGTGTTTCTTGACATTTCCTGTGTCACTACCTTGAAGTGCTCAGAGAAGGAAGTGATTTGTCTATCTTGATTTTTCATTTCGAATACTTATTTTTAGTGAGCCCAAGGAAAGTTTGGTAACTGTAGAAAATATATTAAGTTTAACCATTGCTCCTAATTCCATTACCCTGGGTTAACAAAATTCCATTAACTAGAGCTAACATCTTGGTGCCCAGGTTTGAAGCCTAGGCCATCACTTGCTGGTTTTATGACCTTGGGCAAATTTTCCTAAGGGGATTCTGGTGGCACCTATTTCAAAAATCTGTGAGGACTAAACACATTTAATACATACATACACAGTACTTAGAACTGTCCCTAGCACAAGGTGGCTGTTTTGTTGCTTTTCTTGTTCCGTGTGTGTAGCGTATACAGGGGAACATGGTGTCATGCCTGTGCTTTTTACTTCCGTGAGCACATTTGCCCATGTTATGACAAGTTCTTGGAAAGCATTTACTTTCTGTAGAACACCATGAATCTTGATACATTAAATGTGAAATAACTAATGATCGAATTCTGTGCTACATCATACTTCCATTAAAGTATATGCAAGAATAGACCAGTGGTGGCAAATGCTAAAGGTTTAAAAAAAGTTTGAGAGAAAAGCTTAACATTGAAGATGTTTTCTCCATTAGCTTACTTTTCCCTCTGGTTGAAAAGAAGGTGCTGCAGCAGACACCTTCGTCCAGTATATAGAACTGCTATATTCCACTCCTTTCCAGAATCTTGCCCCAGATGATGATGCATATTTCTTGTTTTTTAACTTACACTATCTGTTGTCTTTAACTTCTCCCTTCCCCTCATCTTAAAAAAAAAAACCCTTATGCAATTGAAGAGATTTTTGCCTCTTTTTCCTACAGAAATCTCACTTTTCTGATTGAAAAATGGAGAACTCTTGTATACATTTAGATGGAAAGTTCTGTCCAAAGTGATGAATTTTTCTGGAATTAGAATACCGTAGATTTTCATTTGGAAAAGTAAACAGTTTGGTTTGAAACTGTTTGGCTACTGTTTGGCTTCAGGATGGCGTGTTTCTTTCTTTGTAGGGATTCCAGATTGTGTTTGTGTTACTGTAGTCTCTGTGTCTGGGCTCTGTTTGTAATATAGTTTGGACATTTAAAATTCTGAAAGTTTGTAAGTAAAGATAGCTCTTAAGATTTATTACCAGCATTTTAATTTTAGAAACAACAAAAACGGTGTCACCAGTTTTCATTCTGCAGGACTGATGGCGGCACCGTGGCCCCGGGTGAAGGGGGGCGGGTGTGTGCTTCCCCTTTCGTGGTTTTCTCTGTGTTGTGTTGCTTGTGTTGGGAGCTTGACAAAGGGGTATCTTTTGGATACTTGTTGTTAGATGAATGATTGGATCATTCATGTCGGTGATTGATTAGTTAGCTGCGCAGCTATAGCAAAACTTGTTTCAGAAAAGTGTGACTCACCCACATCCTTTGGTGTGGAATGACTGTAATATTGATATCTGGACCCTGTCTTTAGGGCAGTTAATACATCACCAACTTCACTTGAAGTTGCTGAGGCCCAGGGAGGTTTCAGTGTCTTTCTTGAGTCAACCAGCAGTAAGTAGGAAGAGAATCCTTGCTTGTTGCATCTCAGGAAGGTAACGTGATTGAATGTGCCCTTGAGCGCTCCCAGCATCTGGGACGAATCCTGTACTGTCGGAATTGAGGCTTTATCTCTTCTCTGCATGAATGATTTCCGCGGATGGCCTAGCATGAAACATCATTGTTTTAGATGAACTAAGTTAGTTTTTCAAGGGTCTTGACCAACATTTTTGTTTTGATAGCAATTGCCTGTTCAGAGCTCTTGGGGATCAGTTGGAGGGACACTCGCGAAATCATCTCAAGCACCGACAAGAGACAGTGGACTACATGATAAAGCAGCGGGAGGATTTCGAACCCTTTGTAGAAGATGACATTCCTTTTGAGAAACATGGTAGGTTCACTGTGGGACACTGGACCCTCCAGGAGTAATGCATTGGGTAATTAAATCTATCAGCATCTCCCAACCTGCCAGCCAGGGGTTTGGTTATGTAAATTACGTCCTTCATTTGTTCACCATTTATTTGTCTGCTGTATTTTGTGCTAGGCAGTTGGAAATTAAAAGGTTTAGATGTATATGTCCTTAATAATAATGATGCTGTTAAGTCATGAAAAACTACTGATGACGCCTTCTTCACTGGAGGGGGGGAGGGGAACAGGCTATTAAATAGGTGCGTAGATCCTATTTTTAAAAGGTGCATACAACAGAAACACATTAGACAAGTCTGGAAAGATACTAGCATTTTATGGTTGTTAATTTCTGACTCCATTTTATTTTTCAGAAATCACTCACTTTCAACAACTTCTATAAAGGGGAGATAATAACACCTAATCTATGGGGTGTTTTGAACAGATTAAATTAGATAATAACAATTGAAATAAGTTCTTAATAAGTACCGGCCATCTGGGGATGACATAATTACCAATATTTTAGCTTTTGTCGATTTTCCTGATTTTTAAATGATCATGTATTACATTTGTAATCAAAAAAACCAGTAAAGTCATTTTGGATTTATCACAGAAAACCCAAACACAGCCTCCTTTTTTGAGCCAAGTCAATTAGTGGTTTTAATTTTTTAGTTTTTTTAATTTTAAATTTTAATAGGCTCAAATCTAGTAAGGAGTATGTATGAGCTTTTAAACTTAATTTTGACAGATACCTACTCTCTCTTCCCCTCCTCACACCCCTCTGAGTCTTATGAAAATAGCTTCTGCTTCTACAAAAAAAAAAGAGGGCAAAAATCCATGGTCCTTTAATCTAGTAACAGTGTTTTGAAACGATGAAAGAAAATAAATCTGAGTAAAACAGATTTTTATTGAAAAAAGGATGAAAGAACGAATAGTTTTAAAAGGTATTATGCTAGGTGCTGACATATTTCTATTTTACAAATAACATTTTTATCGCGGAGCTCACAGTCTGTCTTACCTGTCTGGTCAGGAAAGATCATTCCTGGATATTAGAGAGCTCACTGAAAATTGTGTCGAGAGCGGGTGAGGAGAGAGACTGAGAAGGGCGCTGCGGTAGAAGACTTGCCATGTCGCCCGATGAAAGAATAAGCGGGTCTCCATCACAGCACATACTGGGGGTCGTGAGGGGAGTCCAGGCTGAAGAACGTCTGGCACTGTCATTGCTGGGACTCTTTGGAGTGGAAAGAGAGGAGGCAGGTGATTCTGAAGTTTCTGCTGGGGGAAAGGTGAGGTGGCTGTAAGAGAGAGGGCAGCCGCAGGAAGGAAGCTGTCAGAGAGCCCAAAGCCTTTCTGATTCCTCACTTGGGAAAGAACTCAACTGAGGCAACAGTAGCAAAAGAGACACAGAAGCCAGTTTGATTCCAGCTGAGTAGTCTGTACGCTCCTGAGTGCTCAGGTTCCCTGTGCCTGAATCACTTTTTATCTAGCAGATAGTTTATCAGATGGCCGGCAGTTTACAAGCTGTGTATGTGCAGTTGGACACAGTGCGATGTAAAATGAATTGTGTTGTTGATCCAATTAAGATAATCATTTCGAATGAAGGAAGTTTTTAGTTTGTCACTCTACATTCTACTTTGAAAATCCTCAATGAAGGTCTTGTGTGGTAGATTTGGGGGTGTGGTAGGTCAAGAAAGTCAGACTTTCAAGTGCTGGTGCGATAGTCACTATCGATGTAGAATGGAAGGTATTTTTTTGACATGTCGCTGTGTCTGCTCGATGGTTGGGGAGAGCGCGATAAGAAATGGAGCTTTAAAGAAGTGAAAAGTGACTGACTGCAATAGAGGAAATGAAGAGAAACCCGAAAGTCATTTGAATTCTAGACTTAATACATGCCTCCCTCCTATCACAGTTATGTATTTTTAATGCCAGCCAGCCTACCGAGTTACACTGTGAGGTTCTTGAAAGTGGAGACTGTGTCTGTTCTGCAGTGCAGCCGGGCTCACGGTAGGCACGCCTAAGACACTTTGGCATGATTCAATGAATGACTCACTTGACTCTCCAGGACTCAGTTTCCCTTGCATCTCACCCTGTCTTAGAATTATTCTTTTCCTATGGTCTGTGGCTTTGGAGAACTGGTGGTATCATTCCCCTCATTGTACAGGTACAACTTGTAGTTGTACAAATGAAATCAGAAAATTGAATATTCTTTGTGCCTCCTTTCCCTCTCTGCTCAATACCCAGGTCCTCATTAAGTCTTGTGACTTCTCCCTCAGTATTTGTTTTTTTCCTCGCTGCACCACCTTGTACAATTGGGCCTTTGTGGTGGTTTGCCAAGGCCTCAGAACTCACTGTGCTGGTCTCATTGCCTCTCCTCCCCTTCAGTTTATTCCACATTGCAGCCAGAACGGTGATCTCAGTGCACATTTAAAATGCCTTCCTCTTCTCTAAAACCTGTTGGTAGCTCCCCGTTGGCGTTAGGTTAAAATCTAAACTCTAATCCTCTGTGATCTGTGATTTTCTTATTTCTTTACCCTTATCTCTTGCCATTTCCCACGACATCTGATTGTTTCTCTAGTCTGCCGCCTCAGCATTCTCAGTTTGTGTCATACCACAAGCTTTTCCTTTTCTCTCTTTCTCCTTTTCTGGGACCATCATCAGTTCCTCTGCCTATCTCCTGCTTGTCCTTTGGGAATCAGCTTAGTTACCCCAGCTGAGAAGCTTACTTCGTCCACTGCCCCCACCCTTCCCGCGACCAGACTGGCTTGTTTCCCACTTGGAGTTAGTCAAGCTGCCAGGTTTTAGGGCATAGTCTTGCACAAGACTTCCCTCACTCCTGGAACCAACTGCAAATCTGCGTTTCTCCCAAGCCCCTTACAGGTTTGATAATTTGCTAGAAGGACTCAGAGAATTCACTAAAGGCTGTTATACTCGCAGTTACAATTTATTGCAGGGAAAGAACACACATTGAAATGAGTCTGGGAAGGTCACACACTACATGAAGAGACTGTCAATCAGGGAAGTGCGCCTGAACTTCAGTGTCTAGAATTTTTATTTGGGGCTTCATTATGTAGGTTTACTGATCGATTACCTAAGGGGTTAGGCCCAATCTCCAGCTCCCAGGTCTGTCCTGACATCACTGGCCACAGACGTTTATAGTGAGTCACCTCTTTAGCATAAGCTATCAGTTGTAGGTTGCTGAGGAGACTGCTGTGATTAACTCCTATCTCTTAGGAAATCCGAAGGGTTTAGAGGTTATCTCTCAGCAACCAGTGACAAGGGCCAGCCCTCCAGGCAAGGCCAAATTCTTTTCTGTTCATCCCTTTCCTGTAGCCCTTGTGCACATAAAATGTCAATTTTCTTTTTGTTTGCTCAGCACTGGGTGCAAACTCCTGTGGCTGGCTGTGTAATGGAGTGGCCTATGTGGAATGAAATCTCAGCTCTGCTGTGCACTAGTTCTGTGACCTTGGGCACTAGTTCCGTGACCTTGGGCACAGTTATAAACTGCTCCAGGCCTCAGTCTTCTCCTGTGATGGTGTTCATGACAATACCTCTTTTAGAGGATTGGTTTAAGGATTAAAAGTGCTCATTTATGGGATGCAAGTAGAACAGTGCTTGATCATTCAGGCAAAACGTTATCATTACTGTAGTTATTGTTCTGTTTCCAGGGTGTGGTAGAGTCAGTCATATAGGAAGCATTCAGAAAATATTTATTGAAGAAATAAATGAATCCTTTAGAAATGATTAGTGCCTATCCGAGTAGCGGTCTCCATTCAACCAGCTAAATTCCTGAACTCTGACAAAAGCTAATGGACTTTTCAGATGTACATTCTGTTTCTCATTATTTGGAACTAGATAAATACCAAAGCACTTTTGCATTTGGATTTTTTCGTCCTAAAGACTTTATTTTTCTTTCTCTCCTATTTTCATGCAGTGGCCAGTTTGGCAAAGTCTGGTACATTTGCTGGCAATGATGCAATTGTAGCCTTTGCAAGAAATCATCAATTGAATGTGGTGATTCATCAACTTAATGCCCCTTTGTGGCAGGTACGTCACCTATTGAAGGATTTATCTTAGGCTCTTATTTAAAAATTAGCTTTGGGGATGTCCTAAAACTACCGGGCTTGACCTTTGTTGTTGAACTATGTGGGGCAACCTAGAATTCAAGACTAACCAAAGATACAGTTAGTGGGTTGTGTTGACTTGAATTAAAGCCTGCTGTGCTGTGCACAAATGGAGTGTGAAGTATTAATTCAGAAACCTCTGCAATTGGTGTATTGGTCATTTGACAGCAGAGAGCTTAATGTAGAAATCCTTAGATAACTGTAAAAATATCTAAGTGAGAATGTAAAGGATTGGTGCATGCAGGTCTAGTCTGAAGTATGCCTTTTTCTGTGCGGATGCTTGTGTTTTTTAGGTGGAGGCAAACAAAGATCAAAATCACTCTCATAACCATTACAAAAAAGTGTGTTCTGAACACCAAAATTTGTTTCATGGTCTAGGACGTCAGCTTCTCTATCTGTGCTCTGCTGAGGTATATGTAACAGTTACAGTGGTTTTTCTACTGCCAAGAAGATTTTACCATAGTCAATCTGGGCTGTAGAACAGCAGAGCGCAGTGTCACTGTGCGGGTTCCCTAGCTCCCGCTGTGAAGTAGCTGCCCATTCTGCTGTTTTCTCCTTTCTTTACCTTTAGTCCTAAATCAACCTAATCTTACAAACAATCCATCAAACCAAGCGTTCTGGAGTATGGCGGGCCAGGGGGCGGGTATAAGTAAGTGATTACAGGTGACCTTTACCCACCCTCCCTCTCCTTCTGCATTCAGAATGATTCTTGCCACCTTGTCTCAACTCCTGAAGACTGGGCATGTGATTTTTTTTTTTTTAATTAGCAAGGTAAGCATGTCAATTAAAGGAAAATTTGAAAATTTAGAAAAGCCCATAAAGTCAATTACAAATCACTCAGTCACACTCCCCAGAGATGGTGATTGTTAGTATTTTATTGTGTGTCCCTGTCATACAGATTCTTAACTATGAAACATTCATCTGTAATGAAGAAGAAATGTATCACAGTGTCTTTATACACGTTTGAGGTACATTTGTATACGTATAAACCGAAATGTTTGTATATGTACACATGTGTATCCCTGTATATTATTATAAAGGCAGCAGTGGACTTTTTTCCTTTTTTTTCCTATGCAATCTGCACGTATATTCCTGTATAAATTGCTTATTCCCAGCTTTTGTTCATTAAAGCAGCTATAGTTCACATACAGCAGAATTTACCTTCCCAGGTGTGTGATTCTGTGTATGGCAACAGTCATGTAAACACCACCTGTCAACGTGCAGGGTAGCGCCGCTGCCCCCAAAGCGTCCTCAGTCCCCTGCAGTCACTGTTCGCTCTATACCCCCAACCTCTTGTAGCCACTTACCCGTCTCTCATAGTTTTGCCTTTCCAGAATGTCATCTGAATGGAAGTATACAGCCTTTTGTGCCTGGAATAATATCCTTTTAACAAAATGACACTATAGCAAAATAAAGTAGATACCCCAGGAGTTAGTGAGGAATTTCTCCTTGCACTGACTGGGGGAAACAACAACTGTGTGTGTTCTTTGGGGCAGTGTGGTCTGGTGCCCCTGTGGATGCCCCTGCATCAGGGAGAGCTGACATATTTTTATTGAGGCTCTAAGGATGGTCTTTCAGCCAAGACTACTGGTTACCTCCTTTATTGTCCTATTTTTTGTCATTACATTTTAGTTTAGCAGAAGGCATCAGTCATTTGAATATAAAGCATAATGACCCTATTGAAGGAAAATAGTGCCAATTTCGGAACCATAGCTTGCCTTTTCCACCAGTGATGATAACTTTTTTAAAGTTTCTTAAATATCTAGGGAGTTGTGGAAGATAATTCTGCTTAGTTAGAATTTATTTTTTTCAAATGCATTTCTGTAGTGTTGTCTTTCATGGGTTCCTGGACATTGAGAGTGTTGAGTACCTGCTGTTTAGCCACCTTTGCTGAACTGGCCCTCGGATCTTACCCATCTCCCCCCCCCCCCCCCAATAAAGCATGTTATAAAATTTAAGAATTGAAACTGCATTGGTTTTTACTGTGGTAGGTAAGAGGTCTTGCTTTAATAATGAGTAGGTTTATACTCACAACATGGAGATACTGAAGGCTCATTTTTTCCTTACAAATGAAATAGAGTATGCTTCTGTGAAAATATAGACATGTGTAGTGTGGAAAGGAGCGTGGAAAGTTAACGATTATCACACTTAACGACTGTTTTTCCAGTTATTTTTTCTATTTGGAATTTGAATATGGTAGTGGCATTATTTAGCTATCTAAGTGCTTTAAGGGTCATGTTGTTCAAAGATTATAATCAACTAGTTTCCTTTCCCAGTAGTCTTGCTGGAAGTAAATGGTGCTGTCTCTATTTTTAATGTGTGTTAAAGTACACTCCTGCACTTGGAGACCTATATATTCTACCTAGAGAGGTATCCATACTTCTGACTTTCAGTCCTGTGTGGTTCCTACTTATTCCGTGGCTTTTGCTTTGTCTTTTGACCACAAATATTGTTTAAGTTATGTGTCTTATTGTCTGTGCTTTCATTCAGAGCAAGAGGGGATGTTTTTAACAGAGAGATGCCTGCTGGGCTTCTTAGAGGACATATTGCAGAATGACTGCAGCATTTCTGTGGGCGTGGCATTTCCTGGGGGGCACTCCCAGACTGGACCTTAGGGCTCTGTACTGCCTAACTCTGGGGAGCACCGTTCCTGTTGGGTTGTGCTCCAGGGGTGCGTTCACACAGAACGCGTGTGAGTGGTGCCTCCAGGGTGCACAGGTAGTGTTACTTTGCTGTATGTGGTTCTGTCTCGAGAGTGATGTAAGAGGGAAATTTTGAGTTTGTTGTTTTCCCTTTTAGAAACGGCCTGTGCATTTGAGGTACCCAGGGCCATGAAACTTTAGCTTATTTAACTTCGTTGTTAACATGCTCCTGGCTTGGGAATATATATTTTCTTATGGCTTTGTTTCATGTACTTACATATTAATAAGCACCTTGAAGCATACATATACGGAAGAGAGAATTCAGAAATGGCTATCCCAGTCAGAGTCCCAGTTGGTGACTGGGCTTCGTGGGCAGTCCAGGTGGCATTACTCTGCAGAAGTTGGCACCATCCAGATCCTCATGGGCATCTGTCCTTTTCCCCCCCACCCCTTGCAGATTCGTGGCACAGATAAAAGCAACGTGCGGGAGCTGCACATCGCGTACCGCTACGGAGAGCACTATGACAGCGTGCGCAGGGTCAACGACAACTCGGAGGCCCCTGCACACCTCCAGACAGATGTGAGTGAGGCTTGTGTTCGACTGTGTTCCGAGTCTTGCAGGAACTAATGTGTCCTGGGGCCAGAAACCAGTGGGTGCTAGCACAGGGGGTCTCTTCTGTGGGGTTACTTCGCCCACAGCTCTGGAAATTGACTGAGACACGTGTGTGCTGCACAAGTCAGCAGCCATTGCCAAAGCGCTGCTTTCTGGAAACTGTCAGTGCTCTCTAAGCCATTCTTTCCGAGCAGTTCACCCCGTTTGGGGCCTTTCTTTTGAATATTTCTCTTGTGGCCTGGAACTCAATGTCTGGGTAGAATTTAACCATAATGTTTGCCATTCCCTGAAAGTGTTCTTGGGAATCTTTACCCCTTATCTTTGAACGTTTTTGAATAGAGTGTTGAAGATCGTGAACATAGTTTCTTGACTTCTGTGAAAAATTTTTTATTACTCTTTATATCTCCTTTAGTTTCAGATACTTCATCAGGATGAATCAAATAAAAGAGAGAAGATCAAGACAAAGGGCATAGACTCTGAAGATGATCTGAGAGATGAAGTAGAAGATGCCGTCCAGAAAGTCTGCAATGCTACCGGGTGTTCAGTTAGTATTCCTGCCGGGCGGTAACGAGGACTTAGGAACAGGCGTCACCAGCTTACTTCGGTGGCGCCCTCTGGCACGCTCACATCTGCCAGGCCAAGCTAGGTCCACGGTATTTGTAGCTTGATCAGGTTGTGTGCCAGACAGTGAGAGCTATTTTTTCATGTCCCTGTGTTTTGCTAAATTTTCCCAGTACTGTTCAAAACCCTAAGGTAGTATGGATTTATTTATTTTTTTCTGATTAGTATTTACACTAGTAAAATTGCACTTTTATAAACAGAATTCGTTTATATTAAATGGTTATTTTAGGTGACCAGCATTATTGAAAATGAAGACATTTTCTAAAAGGAAAAGGTCATGAAACCTTGTCACGTTTCTCACCATTACACCTTTTTTCCCCCTTTAAATTGTTGAAGTAGAGATAGGTACAAAGGCTTACTCAAGAGTCTTGAAATGTTTGTTTCTTGGATAGGATTTTAATTTGATAGTCCAGAACCTGGAAGCTGAAAACTACAATATTGAATCTGCAATACTTGCCATGCTGCAGATGAACCAGGGAAAAAGAAATAGTAAGTTCATGATTGATACTTATAAACTTTCAGAAGTATTGTGTTGGTGATTTTTCATTTTTGTTATTTTTAATCAAGTCAGGTGGACTATAGTTCCATAATGTATTAATGACTTAAAGATTAATGATTTAAATAATGATGGCCAGGTATTATGTGCCAGATACCTTTCCTGGCATTATAGTTTTCCAGGTGATTGGGTATTTTATTCTTCTTTATGTATTTGCTGTGCCTGTTTATAAAGCTAAGTAACTTGGTCTTTGTGACTTTAAATGGGTGCTCTCCAGATCTGTGCTGTCCTTGACACGCAACTAAGCCAGATTGAGGAACTAAACTGTAAATTTTACTTCACTTTAAATAGCCACATGTGACTTGTGGCTACTCTATTGACTAGACAGCTTTTGAGCCTATTTCTTATTTGTGGGTGCAAATGAAAGATTTCTCCCTAAAAGTTCATGTTGAAAAGCAATTTATCTAATAAAATACTGTGCTGGTGTGATGCTGATGATAAGGCTGGCTAACAAGCGTATGTAAATTTAACTTCCAAATTTTACCTATTATTTTTTTCCTATGTTGCCCCTTGTATTCACTCGATACTGTAATTTTGCCTCATGGAAACTTGCTCCCAAATGACAGTGCTCGAGGGACCTAGGTAATTTTGGAGTCATTTAACATTAATCACAGTATGTAATTATGTTTGGTTCTCAGTTTTAATAAAATGTCTTTCTTTGGAAGCTGCAGATGAGAACCTTAAGCCCAGTGGCCGATCGCTGAAGCATTGTGGCCCTTTATGGGAGGAAAGTGGCAGTGGCACCAGAATTTTCGGAAATCAGGGACTAAATGAAAGCAGGACAGAAAACAATAAGTCGCGGGCCAGTCCTGGTGAAGAAAACAAAGCAAATAAAAACCAGCTGCCGAAGGTATGAAAGGGGCTGGCAGGTACCAGTGGTGGGCTGCTGTGATTCGCAACAGCGGCAGGGAATGGGCTCATCCTGGTGTGTGATTTTCTTTTGATTAATAAACATAGTTATTGTAGAAAATGGGAGGAAGTAGAATGAAGACTTCGCTCATTCTGTTTGGTGAGTGAGAGTGACTGGAGAAAGCATACATAGAACTTAGCCTGTGCGCGTGAATGCAGCCTCTCGTCAGCCAGTGCGGTGTGCCTGGGCGCTTTCCCTGTTAATTCAGCCAAAAAGAAATCCTGGTTTTTGATGCAGTCATTCGCAGTGGCATTATTTTCTTGGCTAGAGTCCCAGAAGAGGAATTTGATCGGTTAAAAGGCCTGGGTATTTGAATATTAAAGACCTTTGAATAATTTATCAAGTGCTTCCCTAGAAGGGTGTGTGGCTCCTTCCCCCTCATGCCCACAGTTATGTATGGCCCTGTTCATTTAGTTGAATTTGAAACTTGTTTTTAAAGACTTTCACCAAGAAGTTCTGAACTCAAATGCAACATGTCAGAAGCCACGGTAAGCTTCTGAGGGCTGCTTAGATTACCTGGGGCAGTATGTCCTACAGGGGAAGGTGTCCTGTGGCACATCGGAGTGTCAGCTCCCGGTGCATTGGAGCGGCTGGTCTCTTGGCCATTTTGGATTGGTGTATGGGGAGGATGGAATTGATACTGTTTTCTGACTCAGCAGGGGGCTGTAAATTTAATTGTAAATTTGATCAGTAATGGGAAAGAAAACACTTGATCTGCTAGGTGGGTTTTCTGGCTCTTGTCGAAAGACAGCCTGCACCCTTTGCACCTGTCAGTGGGCAGCAGCCTGAGTCGGCCCGCTGGCAGCTCATCCAGAAGTCTTCTCTTTCAGGTCACGAACAAACAGAGGAGAGAGCAGCAGCGGCTGGAGAAGAAGAAGCGGCAGGAGGAGCGGCACCGTCACAAAGCCCTGGAGAGCAGGGGCAGCCACAGGGACAGTCACAGGAGTGAAGCAGATGTGAACGCGCAGGTCACCTTGGTGAAGACCTTTGCTGCTCTCAACATCTGACTCTGGCCTTCGGGGAGTTGTAAGAGGCGAATGGAAAATGGAGTCTGTGTACCAGGCTTTCCAGGGAGGCTGTCCCTTCACACACCAACAACCCACACGTCCACATAAACTGGCAACAGAGTTTCCTGCAAACTGCCTCTTTTTGTTCAGAGTTTTGTTAGTGATGTGCTTTGTTTTATGAAAGTGCAGAGAAGCAATTCCTGTTCCATAATTAAAATATCAGGCTTCAGGGGTTGATGGTTAGGTCAGGAAAAACCCTTTAAGTGCGGTTTTATTTGCCCTGAAAATCAGAGTTCAGTGACTTTGGGAATCTTTCCTTAACATTTGGAGTGAGTTTTGCTGTAATTGTTCATAAAGTAGTTCAGAAGTCAGAAATTCATGATAACAAATTTCCTTTTTTTTTCCTTTCACCTTCAAACAGATACTAGTATACAGGACAGTTTATAAATGATCTCCAGCTCAGGAACATGTTTAGATTTAATTTTTTTCTAATCCAAGTTAATCAGAAAATAATTCAGGAAGTTCTTTCCCAAAGTAACACGATGTGGGGGCTGTGGCCTGTAGTCGGGGTGGAAATGAGACAATTGTGTTTCCTTCCTCCTGATGCGGACGCTGTTGCCTGGGCGCACAGGTGCTGCTGGTCCGTGTGACCAGTGTGCTGACTCTCCATGGGCGCTGGGCTCTGCCGGAGTGCTGACGGTGCAGGCTTTGGGTACTTGTCTACTACTGGCAGGAAGGTGGCCTGTTCTGCTCCACATGCAGATCTGCGCGCTGATAATGCGGAAGCAGGATATGTTGCTGTAAAGGGAGAAACCAAGGTGTCCCTGAGATTTTGCCTACGAAGTCTAAAGAGGTACTTTGTCTTGTGGGGAGAGGATGTCTAGAAGAACATCGGGGTTTTTCATGTTGATAAGTAGCTGTATTTTCTTTCCAACTATTCTAGACTTAGAACAATGCCATCAGAGAAATAAAAGAACTTTACCTATTGCTAAATTTAGTATTGTGGAAATGAAATCCCATAAAATTATGCATTTACATTTTATTTAAGCCCTGTTTGGGATTTTGATGTTGGAAAAGCTCCCCTGCAACCTCCAGAAGTTGTGGATTTGCCCCAAAGGAGGAGAGCATCCTTTGGCCGGGGCCTTCAGATGACTCCCCAGTTAGAGCTGTCCCTCCTAGAGCTGAGCTGGATGGGCATGAACTTTGGAACTCTAATGTGTAAAGTGGCCACTCTTGTCAGGCTTGGCCTTTGGGAACCTAATATTTGGGCAAATAATAGATGCTGAATCAAAAGGTAAATTCTTAGCTATCTTCCCATCCCATCCCATTTCAGAACTATGAAAGTTCTGAGGTGAAGGGAAAACTGCAAGGTAGTTTTCACCTGATTATCTAGGCTGGCTCTGGTTTCATTCAGTTATCAGTAGGCAGTTTGCTTTCTTCAGTTTCAGTGATATATTTTAATTTTGTGTTTGTTTGACTCCGGTGACTTTTTTGTGGTTGGAGAATCAATAGTCTCTTGGAAGTTGTTCCCAGGACATTGTGGCTTGGGCTTCTTCCTGGTACATCACATTGTAATATTTAGCAGATCTAGAAACTGCACAGCGTTTCTTCTTTGCACACTGGGGAGTCCTGACAGCGCGACTCCTGTCATCCCTCCTCTGGGAAGGGTCTGGCTGCCTTGCTGTCTCCAAGGGCATGAGAGCCAGGGCTCGGGAGCCACTACGCTCTTGGTTTTTGACTCTGGGCAGATTTCCTTACCGTGACTGAGCTTTTCCAATGAATATTCTTCCTTTTCTGTTTTTTTTTTTTTTTTTTTTTTTTACTGTGAAGACATAAGATCCTGGCTCTCAGAAAGGTCAGTTTCTTGTGCCAGAACTTCTGTGATTAAGGATTAAGGGGGGAGACTTTAACCAAGGCGGGGAGCAGTGGAACTGCTTTACTTGGTTATGAAGTCGGCCCTGGGCCCTTTTGGGTTTTGGAAGTTTTTGAAGCTGCTGAAAAGTTACTACAGAATATTGGGCACATTTATTTACAAATTACCTTTTTCTGATAACAGGCTTCCCATTTCTGGGCTATAATAACTTTGGCTCTAAAACTCATGAAATGGCTTCAGTAATTTTCTTTTATTGCCACTTCAGTTTTCCAGTTATAACTATTCTGTGCTTAGTATGTTAATTACTAGTTATAGGGTAGATGTAGCCAGCTTTAGTGATCTTCTAGCTAAGGGTTTAAATGTAGCCTTCACTGCCTGAGTCTCCACGCTGCGAGGTAGTTCCTGGGTTCACAGCGGGCAGAGTAGGGGCTGTGTCTCGTCCATGCTGACCTGTCAGCAGGCGTGCTCCGTGCTGGGAAGTGAGTCTTTCCTCACCTCTGTGCTACATCTCATCTGCTGCAAGTTTACGTGACATGGGATTATCCCAGTAGCTTTTAGTGAGGCCAGGAGAAAGGAGATGGGGCAGTGGTTCATAGCTATTTACTAGTCTTAAAACTATATAAAGGTTTTATGGATAAAAAAAGGTTTTTTAACGGTCAAAATAAATAAAATTTTAGTGGCAACAGCTTTGTTCTAGAGAGGTAGATACACTAAAACAACATAGAACCGCAACTTCTAAATAATACAGTTGCCACCAGGAGGTACTAGAGAGATAGGATGTATATGTATATTTAAATTTTCAGTAACATGAACATGTACTTTCAGGAGCAAAATCTGGTTGAAGAATTGTGGCTGAAAGAAGAGTCTTAAATGTTTGTTCAAGTTGTCTATAGTTTCTTTTATAAGTTCTAACAACACTTCTAGACCCATTTTGATTGAGGGCCGTGAGGTGGGATCTCCCTCGTGGGGCAGCTGGGGCTGGGCCGGAGGGAGGGAGACTGTGTGGGTAACGCCTGTTGTTTCTGGGGGACCTTCACCAGGTGAATGAATTGGTCCTGGGGTGGGAGCAGGGCCGTGCTCCATGGGGGAAGCAGCGCATGTATCCCGTATGTAGAGGTCAGGTGGGCTTCGGCTCAGGGCCGTGCTTCCAGGGAGTCCCGTGGTCAGTGTGTGGTTTCTCTCTGAGGAACTCTGTCGACGCGGCCTGAGTTTTACTAGGTCAACATAGACACGTTCAACATGAGAATTCAGTCAATTGAAGGAAACTCTGATTCCAGATCAGACTTAGTGACTAAGTGTCACCCTGATCCAGAGGTCCCTGGTGGGTGGGTGAGAAGGGAGCCTCTTGGTGTTTACTGTGCCCTTCCGTAGCCCTGTGATGCCCATTCGGGGGGATGCGTGGCTCTCTACCTTTTTACCTCAAGCTCTGTCTCTGCAGCAAACCTCTAGACTCAGAGTCTGATGTATGTGTCTGTCTCGCCAATGTCTCCATTCCCGTCTCCCCCATCAGCTTTCAGAACAGGTGTTGCTGTACCCTGGGCCTCGGACAGTTGTTCTGAGGTGGTTTAATGGCACTTTCTGTGAGCTGTGTTTCCCTGACTCGAAAGCAATTGCGTTTGTCCTCTGACATGGTTGAATTGAAGGTCTAGATGGCACATTTAGACCCCAGGGGATCTTCTCTCACGTTGGGGTACGCGACGTGGAGCTGTTGCATACTGGCTACCGTGTGTGTCCGGCGTGGGCCTCAGGCTGTGCGCCGCAGGCTGCCCCGGGCAAGGAGCTGGGCTGGTGGCCTGGCCTGTCCCCAGTGAATTCCTTGGAAGCGCCTCTGGCTCATGATCTTTTCTTCTGAGGAGTTACTTGCTAGTTCTCTGTCCAGCCTAGTTTAGCAGCCTTGCAAAGCGAGAGGGGGCTAGCGCAGGAATGGACAGGCTTCCGTGCAGGCGTGGATGTCCACGTGCCGACTTTGAGCGGGGTGTACCTGTGGCACCGGGCTTCTCCGCGCACTGTGCTGGCGGCGTGGCAGTGATCTCTGGACTGTCTGGTCCGCCTCTAGCCCTTTGCGCGTCCCTGTCCGGCAGGTCTCTGCTGCCGCCGTCGTGACAATCATTGGAGACCCGCCTCAGACCCCAACCCAAACTTGAGGGATGCCGGGTGGGGCGCCTCACATCTTCCTGCTCCCATTGTGCATGTTCCATGGTGGGGAGGGCCTGGCTCCCTGCGACCCTTGACCCTTCGCCAGCGCTGAGCTCCGATGCAGGAGGGAGCCAGGAGGGAGCCAGGAACGGGCTTCAGCCCCGGGCTCCTGCCCGGTGCCAGTGCAGGCATGGCGTTCGCAGGCTCAGGGTCCTGCTCTCCCTCCTGGTGCTGTGCTTGTTCTGGCTTCGGTCTGGAGGGAGGCGAGGCCTCCCCGGGCCGTGCTGCACAGACTCAGCGCGTCTTCCTTAGCTGTGGCGCCCGACGGAGGACTGCGACCATGTCTCGCGTCCACAGCTCATCTCCCCTGCGTTCTTTCCTCATCGTGTTCATGTGAACCATTTTAGTTTTTATTTACCAAAGTACTGTACTTGGCTACTTGCAGTGTTTTCAAAACTAAATGTTTCTTTTTCTGTGTTTTTTATCTTCAATACTTGGTGCAATAGAAGCTGCAAAGATGTGCCACTTTATCTATGAAATGGAGTTTTGTACACCAATAAATTCTAGTTTAAAGACTAGGTTTCGCGTGGTTTTTGTCAATGACCCTCTTTTGAGTCCACGAGACCGAGAGCATGCTGGGAAATGTCCTCTAGGAGGCCTTTCCCGGCAGATGTGCGGGGGTGCTTCAGGGTGAAGATGTGGGAATCTCATGGTCTCGCAGGGCCGCCTCAGCTGACTGTAGCCTTAGTGCTCTGGCAGGGCCTCCAGGGGACTGGACACTTAAGATTCTGCTTGATGGCGAGCTCATCTCGTGACCCGGAGCCCCTACCTCTGGCGCAGCTGTCTGGCTGTCGGCTGCCACCTCAGAGTTTCTCTAGGACTCTGAGGTATGAGTCCGGTCCTGGAGGAGGCTCACTCCCCCAGACATTTGTGGGCAGCAGCGACCGGAGCAGAGACTGCACCTAAGGCAGGTCCTCAGGAGCGGACAGGGGAGGGCAGCCTTAGAAAATCAGAGGGGAACCCCTCAAACATCCAGCAGGAACCCAGCCTACGGAAGGGCCTAGCCTCATGATTTTGGCCCCAAGACTCGCACACCCCTGTTCCTGTTTCTGTCCTCACCCAGCAGCCTGTGGATTGACCCCACAGTCCCTTGAGACCAGAGTTACCCAGCACCAGTCCGGATGAAAGAGAACATTTCTGACTGCTGGCAAGGAGGCCCCCTCCACCACTACCCACTTTGTGAGGTTTACTCAATCCACGACCCAGAGACACAAGCACCATCCACTTCCTAAGCCTGGGAGGCCCCAGTGCTGGACCTTGTTACCCAGCTGAGATTCTTTCTGAAAGGTCCTGTTAGGACAAATTGGTCTCCTGACTTAGGTGCCCCCCCCCCCTTCCCCTACTGGCCTTAAACTCCATCCCTGTGGTGATTGGTTTTGGGCTGGAGTCACCTGTTAGGTTGGGCGGTCACCCAGGGGCTCCCTGCTGGATCTTGGTGACCATGAGGGCCTCTGAGATTGCACCTGTGAGGACAGAAATGCTCGCAGGCCAGGTGGGGATAATTAGGGTAGACCAAATTTATTATTTATATTTTCCTCTAGGCTACAGCGTCATCTGCTCTGGCTGAGTGACAGACAGTTAATGAGACCAGAGTTGTGCAGGGGAGAGTGGCTGTGGCCCTGTCCCTCCTTGGGAGCTGCTGTGACTGCCTAGGAGGCCAGGTTGAAATGAACGTTACCCAAGCCCTTCCCTCAACATGCAGACGTGGATGTGTGCCTGGAAAGATGGTAAAAGTGATCATAAGATGCTGTACTCTGATTCATGGTTTTGTCTGGATGAGAAGATCTCTCGGGCCATAGGATTTTTTGGTTGTAAAGGATCAACACCAATTCTGCCACTTTGTGGATTCTGGCAGAAGGAAACATTTCCACCTTAGGGAAATTTGTGAGAACCTCCCTGTGGGAGAGAGACAGCCATTGTAAGAGATTCAGTGTTTATTCAACATATTCACTCATCCAAACACCCAAGAGTACATGCAACATTTCCTGAAACCCTGCTGTGTGTGGCTCCTTGTTTATGTGTTTTTTACTCAAAGGTAGCGGACCTTGCCCTCATAAAATTTCCACTTTGGGAGTGAAAATGGACTGGAACTGTGACCCAAGAGAACACGTGTCCAAAAAAGGGGGCCCTGATGGGCGTGTGAGTTCAGAGGGAATCAAGGAAGGTTTCCTGGAAGAAGTGCCCTTTGGACTAGGTATGAAAAGAGAGATGATGTGGGAGGAGTGAAGGCATTTGGACTGAGGGACCAGCATAAACAAAGCCCTAGAGTGGCTGTCCCGTGTGTGAGGACAGGGTTTATGAGGGTTAGTTTGGAGAAAGACTGGACTCTTTCCCCTTCAAACACATGTGCCTCTTGCTACTGGAAGATTAATGCTACTGGAAGATTAGTGTTCACTGAAGGGATCCCAGAGATAGGCCACCTTGTGTCCTACAGTGTCAGGACTTGGCCTGTGTATACACTTTGACCTCCAGACATGTGACGGGAAACTCCAGAGGAGGTGCTGCACGCACGTCTCTCCAGTCACTTTCGCCTCAGTGCCTCTGGGACATCATCTGGGGACTCTGAAGGTTAATGATCTTCAAACATGTGTCCAGTTAAAATAAATGAGCACTTGGACTTGTGAGCCAGGGGGCAATTCAAATAAATCAGTATGGTATTTATGTCTGTATGATACCACTTCCCTAAAATAATTCTAATTATCATGTATTCATGGATTCAACTGAACAACAATTTAGCATGCACTGTGTGATGGGGACCGTTGGGTAGGGACAAAAATACATAAAGTAACGTGGCACAGACGGAGCATCCCTAACCGTCCAGGCACTTGGAATATGTCGTCTCATAAACCTTATAACTGCCCTGGGAGGCTGATGGTTCCACCCACATTGTTCACAGGAGAATAAATTATTGGCCCAAGATCACAGATCGGTAGTAGAGTCAGGACTTGAACCCAGGGTCATCTGCCTACCAAAGAGGAACCCCAAACAAGAACCCAAATAACAGGTAAGTAGCACTAGGAAAGGTGCGAGCGTGTGGCGAGGTGGCTCAGCGGGTGAAGTTGGCTCCGGTTGGTCAGTCATCATGGATCTCCTACCTAACGCTTGTGGATCTGAACGTGCGGATGAGCCGGTGACAGGGGAGGCTTCTAGGCTGGAAGCAGCTAATGCATAAAGGTGTGCAGGCAGATTGGCATGTCCTGGGAATGTTAAGGAGCAGAGACAGACACGGCTGCATAAACGAGGCTGGAAAGGAGATGACACCACGCTTGAGCGCCAGGGGTGGGTGACAGCGGGATGGTTCCTGGGCACAGGAGTGACGTGATGAAAGCAAACTGGGAAGATGAACCAGCATCGGGGCAAGATGGAGACTGGAGGATGAAGGGCTGAAGATCCCCACTTGAGCTCAATCCCAGCCCTTCCTAGTCGGCTGGCTACCTCTGGTGTGTGTCTGTCTCCAGCACCCAGCAGGGGCCAGGGGCATGTGTAAGAGTTTCCTTAACCATCAATGAACTTGAACACATTGATCAGTTTTCTGCAGTATCCCTGCAAAGAACCGTGAAGAAGCAGATGAAGGTCCGTGAAATCGTAACTGGATCTTAGGTTAACTTGGGGATTCCAATGTGATCTGATTTCTCGTCACTTATTCGGCAAGTTATTTAACTGAGCACTTCATGAATGGCTTTTGTTAAGGGCTAAGTGGGAACAAAAAACCAATCCAAATCCCGTCATCAAAATCAGAGAGGCAAGCTCTGAAGTATCCAGGCCACCAAGCCCCTGCTCTCCCACCTCCTCCACCCCTAGGCCTCATTCATAGTTCACTGGGTCATTCATTCACTGAAATACTCAGTGCTTGGAAATGCCAGGTTCTTTAAAAAGTCAGCCATTGTCATTACGACCATCATTCATTCATTTATAGAACATGAATGCTTATTATGCGTAAGGCATGCTTTTTGTACTTTGGCACAACCAACCTGCCAGGGAGATGCCGTTGTCCTCTTTGACCAAAGCAGAAGCCGAGGCTGTGCTTTTTAGAGCTCAATATCCCCGCAAATCACCTGGGGGAGAGAGCGGTCTTGCTAACTTACAGATTCTGATTGGAGGGTGAGAGTTCCTGCATTTCTGGCAGGCTCTCTGCTGATCAGGAGCTGACAGACGGCACTGTACGCAGACCCCCCGCCTCAAGTCCAGCCCTTTATTTTCACAGCTGGAAAACAAGGGTTTGTGCTGTAGGCACGAGCATGCACACACAGATTTTAGACAGTGCATTCACCAATCATTTATTGATCCTGGGAAACAGGCTGCCCTGGAGTCTTGTTCTTCGGTTCCGATGCTCACTTGGTGGATGGTCACGGGGCTTGTGGGATCACCAGGTACCCGCACCGCTGATATCCACCTCCATCACCCCCACACAGCCTCTCTCCTTGTCTCCCCAAATAGCTCCTCCTTCCTGTGTTTCTTATCTGTCCGCCATCATTTTTTTTTTTTAAAGATTTACTTATTTAAGCATACAAGAGCCGGTGTTCAGGCCAGAGGTGTGAGGGGTGAGAGGATTCACTAGAGACCGAGTTGGGAACAGAACAGGCAGATTGACTGAAACACACTGCTGAGGGGAGTAGTGGGCGAGACAGGTGAGGTCTGCCGCCCCATGTGGGTAGCTCCCTGGCTGGCTGGGGATCGAATTTGTGCTGTAGAGGCAGTGGATTGCTTCATAGTGCGGTGCTTAACCCCTTGCGCCACCAGGGAGGCCCTGTGCACCATCATTCTAACATGGTTGTAAGGACTCTCTCGGTTATTCACTACTGGCAATCCGAAGGGGCCCATTTTATGACCCCAGGCGCACTCTTGACTGCCCTGGCGAAGGGAAATCCAGGTTCCAGCCAAATGTAGGTGTCCGCCTGGTAACCTGATAAAATGGACAGCAGGGGGCGCTCGAGGACCACGTTGCCCAGCACTGCACCCTTCCCGCAGGTCATGCCTCTGGCCTGCCACCCTCTGGCCTTGTGCTGATTCTTCACCCGAGGTTTGAGTAAGTGACAGCCGCAGGGTGAGCACACCTTGCTAGTAGATACTTTGGCCAGCACAGATCTACCTCACCTTTTAGTGCTGGAAGATCGGTCCTTTGATTTCTTCACTCTCCCGTCCTCAAAGCCCCGAAGGCTTAAACACGCCAGGAGAAGGCTGGTCGGCGGGAAGCCGGCTGGGCCAATGCTTGTCACCTGCAGTATCTCATCGAACAGGCTCATCCCAGGCCTGGAGCACTTTATCAGCATGTTATGGAGGATTATTCCCTGTGTCATATATTGCGGAGTGGAATCTGCTGAAGCACAGTCTTCGGGGCTGCACTCCCACTGGCAGGGTCTCGAGGGGCCTTCACTTCTTCCTGGTTCTGGGATGGGCTCCATCTTCCCTCCTCTCCTTCGGGGTCAGGAACCTGACCCGGGCCAGGCGCCCCACAGCAGACCTGGCTGGGGCCAGGCGCCCCACAGCAGACCTGGCTGGGGCCCTCGGGACCACCCATGGTGTGACAACAGCACCAGCCTGGCAGCAGGAGCCCCCCCAAGCAGGACGTGTCCTCTCTGGCCCCCAGACGCTCTTCCGTCAAAGGCTGAGTTTGTATAGGATGGTTCTAGAGCTTCTTTTCCATCTTAGCCATGCTGCTAATGGGGGAGGTCTTGATGCCTGATGACAGGGTGGGGACAATAGATTTTTTTTTAAAGATTTATTTATTTATGCATACAAGAGCTGGGGTACAGGCCAGAGATGCAGGAGGGGGAGAGGATTCACCAGAGACTGAGTGGGGAACAGAACAGGCAGATTGACCAAAGTACACTGCTGAGGGGAGCAGCGGGCGAGACAGGAGAGGTCTGCTGCGCCATGTGGGTTGCTCCCTGGCCAGCCGGGGATCGAACTTGTGCTGCAGAGGCTGGGGATCGCTTCATAGTGAGGTGCTTCACCCCTTGCGCCACCAGGGAGGCCCCAAGGGGACAATAGATTTTTTAGGTGGACATTGTACAAACTTCACACGTTACACATAGGGCTGGAAATAGCGCCATTATTGTCTGGGGTAAGATTGTAGAATGTTAGAAAAAGAGAGTCAAAAAATCTTACATGTGTGGAGAACAGCAAGGCAGTGTTGCCTCTGCAGGCTGGGGCCCCACGTCAGACCTGCCCCTGAGCCTCCGGGTGCGCAGACGTCACATGCACGAGGCAGGTGCTCAGAAATGAATGACTGAAACTGGAGAGCAGAGAAATCCTACGAGGAGAGAATCTAGAACCAAGGAGTGTTAGAATGATGGGGAAATACTGTCACTTATTCAGAAGGGGGGGTGGAGACCCCAGGACTGGGTAAGAGTCTTCTGGGTGCTGAAAGGACTGTGGCTCCTGCGGCTCTTCCTCGCTTTGGGGAAGGTGGGTCCAGCCCCAGCCCGGGAGCTCTGAGGGAGGCAGGTTTGCAGAGGGCGCTTCTGGAGGGAGGGTGCTGGTGCCCCAGGCCTGGGGCTGCCCTGTGGGAGGCTGGGCCTGGGAGGGCCTGGCTCAGCCCCAGCAGGGGGGGGTGGGCCCCGTGCACAGCTTGTTGGGGTAATTCGCGTATTTGTGGTTGTAGGTGCCCAAATGGCGGCGGAAGCAGAGGGCGGCCCTCCTGTCACACTCGCAGGTCTGGCGCTGGCAGCTGGTTCGCCCGGCTGGATGGGACACGGGGAGTCAGGGTCCAGGCGGCTCGGGCCTCCGCTCTCAGACTCGCCCGGTGGCGCGTCCCCCTCTCGGCCCCGCCCGCTGGAGCCCATGCTCAGGGCGGCAGGTGTTTCAGGGTGGGTGAAGGGAAGGGTCTGGTGGCCGGCAGGGCTGGAGGTTTGTCTGGGCTGCTCTTCCTTCCTCTCCTGAGCCCACTCACACCGTCCAGGGACACCAGCCGGGTCACTGACTCATCTGCCCCAGCTGGGGTTCCCAGCAACCCCACCCCCTGGCCTTGCCAGCGTGGAGCCAGCCACCAAGAGAGAAGAAGGCTATGAGCTGTCTCAACTCAAGCCCAGTGGCCCGCGTGGGCCCCAGACCGGAGGCCACTGGGATGGAAGCCAGGGTCCACTCCGGCCTGTCCTGTCTCCATCAGAGTAGATGGGGCCTATTTTCCTGGCATTTACCTTCGGCTTTCCCTAGCCCCCCATGGGCGTGCCCACATCCAGCTGGAGATCAGTGCTGGCAGCAGCCCCCCAGACCCAGAGTCTCCTCGTCCCTACATGGCCTCTGTCCCCAGTGGCTCTGGCACCCTTTGGTCCTGACCAGCCCCAGTCCAGCCCCACCTCGGCCCAGCCCTCTTCACCTCCACCCTCCCCCCATCTCAGGTTCCTCCAGGTGGGACCCTGACCCTTACAGGTGCTTTGTCCCAGGCCAGCAATGTCCAGGGCCCCTCTCTGCCCCCTCCAGCACCAGCCGCTACTTCCCACCAGGGTCTGCTGTTTCTGCAACACTCCGAGTGGGAGGGGCTTAGCAGCTGCTTCCCAGGACTGGGGGCCAGAGGGAAGGAGGCACTGCAGCTGGCAAACTGAGCAGATGGGTCTAGCCTACAGTCCCGCTGGGGGAGCCCACCTTTGGGACAGGCCTCCTGACGCAGACCAAAGCTCCCAGCTCAAAGCTCTGTTCTGCGGACTCTGCCTGTCACCAAGCCCTGGGGGGTGGGTGAGTGAGGAGCCTCTGTCAGTCCTGCCCCCTTAACTTCTCTCCTCAAGGACTGGGGCTGGAGGCCTCTGGGTGGACGGGAAGCACTGGGCCCAGGGCAGGTGGGCCTGCCCAGGTGGGCACTGGGTTATCTAGGCTGAGTACCAGGTAGGCATCTGGGCAATGCACTGGCATTTCCACAGTTCCATGCTGATGGGGACCCCTCCATGGGGAGCCCAGGCTCCCCCTCAGGACGGGGCTCCTGTCTGAAGCTCCCTCCTCCCCACTCCTGGTGTCTGGGACATGGGGGCCATGTATTTACCACAGAAGATGTTGTCCCGGCCGACAGAGAAGAGATAGCGTTCCAGCTTGGGCTCACAGCCCTGCTTCTCCAGACGCCCGTAGCAGCAGTCATGGGCTTGGCAGCACCTGTAAGGGTCGGGGTCCCACCTGGAGGAGCCTGTGAGACCAGAGGAGGGGGCCCGGGTGGGCCTGGACGTGGGGCTGACAAGGCCCAGGGCCTCAGGGCCTCAAATGAGATGTCAGCTCCTAGCTCCTCACTCCTCCCAGGGTGCATGCGCCTTCCCTCTCCAGCCCAGGGAACTCCCCTGGGGGGCACCCCCTTACCAGTCTGTCTCGTCCACTGGCCAGTGGGAGCCCCCAATGCCGCAGTAGCAGCCATAGTCGTTGTACTGCAGGGCCGACTTCCCCGTCATCTTCTCGATCATCACCCCAAACTGGACCAGGTTGCTGGCAGCCTGGGCCACTGCAGGGAAGGAGGGCAGGCGCTGCCAGACTCCCCAAGGCCCCACCCTCAGAAGCCAGTGTCCCCTCATGGCCCCTCCAGTCTGCACCCAGATGTCTCTCTGATTGTCCAGTTAATCTCGCCTCCCCAAGAACCACTCCCGTAACAATAATGCACCCATCACAGCATCTCCGTGGTCCCCAGTCCTCACCTGGTCCCCTACTCCACGCCTGGTCCCCAGTCCTCACCTGGCCCTTTAGACCACACCTAGCCCCCTAGACCTCACCTGGCCCCGCAGTCCTCACCTGACCCCCTAGTCCACACCTGGTCCCCTAGACTTCACCTGGCCTCATAGCCCTCACCTGGTCCCCTAGTCCATACCTGGTCCCCTAGTCCTCACCTGGCCCCCTAGTCCGCACCTGGTCCCCTAGACTTCACCTGGCCTCATAGTCCTCACCTGGTCCCCTAGTCCACACCTGGTCCCCTAGTCCTCACCTGGCCCCCTAGTCCATACCTGGTCCCCTAGTCCTCACCTGGCCCCCTAGTCCATACCTGGTCCCCGAGTCCTCACCTGGCCCCCTAGTCCACACCTGGTCCCCTAGTCCTCACCTGGCCCCCTAGTCCACACCCGGTCCCCTAGTTCTCACCGGGCCCCCAGTCCTCATCCAGGCTGACAGCACACCCCGTGGCCCTTCTGATCTCTGCCACCTCCCAGAATCCCCCCACCTCCCCCCACCCCAGCAGGCTCTCCCAGTGGGCGCCCACTATCTCCTCAGGTGTCAGCTCCTCCCTGGAGCACTCAGTCCCTGCCGAGTCTCATCAGATGCCACCGGGCAGGCGTCCTATCAGCCTCTGCTTCCCGGGATTCCTCCCAATCTTGCCCATGTAACAAGGGGAGATGGGCACTCTGGAAGGCTGGAGCCCAAAATGGAAGCTAGTGTGGGGGCTGGGCTGGGGTGGCAGGAGCCCCGGTGGGTTTGCAGTCTGGGATCCCCGCCAGCCTCTTTCCCATGCCCCCAGGTGCCCCAGCCTGCAGTCTCTGAACCCTCGCTCCAGCTCTGCTGGCCAGAGGGGCTTGGGCGGAGCTGACCTGGGGAGGACCCTGGTGGCAGGAGGGAGCAGCTCCTTCCCCAGGACAACTCAGCCACTTTGGGGAGGTGGGGGAGAGGGCCTAGCTGGGGGTGGGGGATGAAGGTCAGAAAAGTCACTTACCCAGGAGGCACAAGAAGGTCAGAAGAGGGGGAGGTTTCATCCTGGGGGAGGGGAGGTGAGCAGGGGGCAGAGGAGCCAGCTGTGGGAGAAGGAAGTGAGCAGGGGTGCCTCTGATCTCAGGGCACCTCCCCAATTAGTTAAATACCCTGTCTTGTCCACTCCCCATCATTAACCCCCGAATGCCCAGTGATGCAATCACACTTGCAGGTCTGACACTTTGGCCCCAGGGGAGGGGCTGGGGGGGGGGTGCCCTGGGCTCTGCTTCCAGGCTGGAGGCCGGAGTTGCCTGCGGCTCTCCTGGCTTTCCTTCCCCCTGGCCTGCTCCCTGCCTGCTCCCTCCTGCCAGCTGTGAGCCAGGCTGGCTCAGGGCCTCATCCTTGGTGTCTTCTCTTCATCCCCACTTTATGGATGTGGCCCGGAGAGGCTGAGAAAGGCCTGGGGGTGCCACGTGCCGAGTGGGTCCCATTTCTATGATGCCAGTCACTCCAGCATGCCCTCTGCTCCCGGCCCCACCCTCCCCAGCCTCACCCACAGGGAGAGCAACTTGGCTTGTGCAGGCCTGGCGGCCTGGGGCTCTGCCCAGGAACCTATAGCAGAAGGCGGGGCCACAGCCCACGAAGCTCAGGGATTTTAAATTGTTTTTTCCTAGATGTGACTTTTGTCTCCCAAATCTTCGGGCAGTGGGTTGTGTGGCTGCTGTGGAAATAGGTTCTGAGTCAGCTGGAAAACCCACATTCCAGCAGGGACTGGAAACTTCTGTCCTTCCATGTTATCTTTGGGTCTCGGTGGGGGACTGCAGTCCCTGGCCCAGCTTGTCCCCTGGGGGAGCCCCAAGCTCAGCTGGAGGTCTGTGGGGTGGAGCAGGGACACGGAGCGCCCCTCCCGGGCAGGCCTGAAACGTCACGCCCCACAGATCAGGGACTCAGTGGGCTCCACCCGGCATCCACTGGGGCAGAACTGGAGACTAGATGCCCTTGTCCCGGCTGCGACTTCCTGCGCCCCGCCCTCCTGTGCCTGGCCTGTAACTGGGGTAACCTGGCCGGCCGTTTTCATCAACATTTGGGGCTGGCAGCTACGGCTTTGGTGCCCCAATTCCACTGCTTTTTATGTGGCCTTAGGCCATTTCCTTGCTCGGAACCTCAGTTTTCCTGCCCACATTTCTGGGATAGAAGGCACCCCACCCTTGCCCCCTTCAAGAAGGAGGGGAGCTCAGAGGCACCGAGGACTGACTGTGCCAGCACCGGGCCAAGCCCTTCTCCTGCAAGGTCTCCAGGTGCCTTCAAACAGCCCACGAGGCAAGTGCAATGATGATAACCCCAGTTTACAGAGAAGCCAACTGAGGCACACACACCTAAGCATGTGGCGATCCAGAATTTGGCCTTAGGCAGGTCAAAGGGCTTAGCTAGTGCGGACAGTAGGCAGGGACCGAGCACCAGGCCTTTAGCCCCCCCCCCCCCCCCGCAGCCAAATGTTTTAATTTCTTTGAAAGCGGAAGGGAGGAAGGGTGACTGTCAGACAGCCTGGGTTGTCTCTGTCTTGATGCCCATGAGGTCCTGACACTTTTTCCTTTGTTTTTCAGTGGAGGGAAGGAGCCGGCAAGAGTGTGCAGGGCCAGGACAGATGAGCTGCAGAGCCTGACACCAGGCGGGGCGGACCCCTGAGGAGCCCACTCCTGGCTGGCAGGCCTCTTCTCCCTGAGAGTGGGCTGGGTCTCACACCACGGACAGGAAGGACTCCACACAAATTCCCTGACCACCACTCCCTGGGGGGTGTAGCCTTGGAGTGAGAAGGGAGCTCTGGTGGCAGGGATTCCTGGTGGTGATTTGGAATTAAAGGCTTTTAACAGCTGTCAACACTGTCACATACCCCCAGCGGGCCCTGCCTCCTGCCCCTCCCATTTCCTGCTGGTTTCCTCCTGGCGCTCTTTACAGAGGCCCTGCTCAGTCCCCACACAGGACTCGGGGGACAGAGGCCAGAGAGGTGAGTCCACCTGGCCTGAATTGCCCAGCCGCTATGAGTCACGGGCTCCCGAGGGGGGCTCCTCATTGCTCACCATTGCCTTTTGATTTTAACGAGGACACCTCCTGGCAGCCCCTGGCTGCTGGCCTGGGTCACGAGAGCCCAAACGGTGAGTCACTGAGTAGCTACCTCCTAAACAACCGAAAATTAGCTTTGATTCCTGGGGAGGTTTGGCCTTCAGCCCTGCCTGCCATCGCAGCAGAGCTGGTTCCCAGGCAGGGCCGGGTTTCGGAGGCCATTCCTTTGTAGGCCATTTTGAGTTCTGCTCTGGCCCAGGTGGGGCCCCTAAAAGTCATGCCCGTATGAACCTGGGGCAGAAAACAGGACTGTAGGGCCAGTGCCAGGCAGGAAAATCCAGGCAGACGTCCAGGCAGAGGTGTCCTCAGCTGAGTTTTGAAGTGGGGGCACTGGAAGAACTTGGGCTTGGAGGAGAGTTTTGGGCATTCAGGAGATGTGGATGGTGTGATGCTGTTCCCACCAGCAGCACACTGAGCCAGGCTCAATGTGCCAGGGCGCTGCACTGGCCAGACCAGGACTTGAGTGCTGGCTACACCGGAGGCCAGGTGACCTCGGTCAGTCCTGTCACCTCTCTGGGCCAAGATTCGTCATCCATAATCTGGGGATAATTAGACCTGCCTTTCAGAGTTTGGGACTGGATGAAAAGGAAATGAAAGGTGTGAGCCCTCTGCAGCTGCCATGCCCATGGGCGGAAGCCGTGGACGTTGGCTCCCTCCTGCCCCTCCTCCTGGCCTGGCCACAGAGGAGGAAACTGCCGTCCCAGGAACCAAAGCACGTGCCCCTGCCAGGGTTGGCACGATCTGGGCCAGGGACCCCAGCCATTCAGTGTGGCTATGCCCTCACTCCACAGGTCGTAACTTCCACAGTGGAGGGGTGGGGGTAGCGGTGGCAGTGAGTGGAGGGGTAGGGCCTACTCGCTCAGGATCGTCTTCTTACTCTTGGTGTTAACTTGTCCCTGTGACTTAGAAGTCCTTGTTATCATCATTGTCTGACCAATACAAATAGAAAACCAACTTTCATTTACTAAACTCCTCCAGACCTTATTTCTAGAAAGGGACCATGGGTGGTTCAGTTAATCAACTAGATTGAGGACTTACTAGGTGTTGGGAATACACGGGAGAGGAAACCAGGTCTGATTCCTGTCCTCATGGAGCTGATAGTCCTGCAGGGAGACAGACATTAGTAATCACACAAATAATTCACAGATAGGGTTAAGTAGTGTGACAGAATGTTCCATAGGGCTATGAGAGCGTTTAACAGAGGTGTCTGCTCTGAGCAAGGTGTCAATGTAGAGGAAATGATTCAGGAAAGGTCTCGAGAAGGTAACTGAATAAAGAGGGACATGGAAAGAGTTTAAATAGAGGGACAGTCTGTGCAAAGGCCCTGTGGTCTGAGACATGGCGCCCAGTAGGGACTGAAAGGAGCCCGGGTGGCTGGCTGATGGTAGCAGGCTTCAAAGAGCATGATTCACTGAGAAGCTGACCCCGTTCACCCCTCCGGAAGCCCTTTGCTTGGGCCTGATGGGCAGGCAGCCAGCGCTGGCAGAATGCTGGACAGGGCCAGGAGAATGAGCACTGCTCTGGAAGACATGGGGTATCCTCAGCTCAGTGTCATCGGCATCAGGAGCCTCCAAGGACACCAGGAACCCAGGATGGCACGTCCCCCCAGTGAGAAGGGGATTTGGACAGCCGTCATCACAAGGCTGGGCTCTCCTGCTTGCACTGGAGGGTACAGAGCTGACTCTCCGGTGTGGGTCTGTTCCACCTTCTATAAGGTCACTGGTGTCCTTGTGAAATAGCACAGGTGCGCCTTGTTGGCCTTTGCCTAGGAAACAGTGGAAGGCCAAGGAAGGGCTTGGAATGAGGAGGAGACCTGCTGCGTCTGTCTGCACAGGACAGTGCTGGTGGCCGGGAGGAGGAGGAACGGGCGGGAAGCCGGTGAGGAAGAGAAGGCCAGTCAGCTGGTGTTGCAGGCCCGGGATGGCACAGCCCTGTCCTCAGGCAAAAGGGTGCGTCATGGCCAACACTCCAAGTGGGTGCGGGAGCTCGCGGGGACATGGGCCGCCCTTTCCCATTACTGTAATGTTCATCCTGTAAGGCTGCCTGCAGCTGGCTGGGGAGAGCCACGGCGTAGGAGGCAGAGGGCAGGGCTCCGGGAACAGCGCTGCCCGGGCAGGCACAGGTCGCCAAGTATCTGTGAGTGCCTGTGGCTGTGGGGTCGTGGAAGCCCCGCTCCTGGTGAGGGCCCTTTTCTCCCCAGTGCCTGAGTGTCCTGCTTGAGACAGCACAGTGGACTCAGGCTGCCTGGCTTTGCCACTGGCTGGCTGGGTGAACGCCCTCCCTTCCCATGGGCCCCCTCACCTGACCCCAGGACTGTGTTCCTCAGAACAATATGGAAGGAGCTGAAGCATGGGGGGCTGTACCTGACCAGAAGGAAGCGGCAGGTAGTCTCTGTCACGATGCTGCTGTTCACAGTGTTGTAGAGCAACCCCGATACAAAACGGGGTGCCTGACTGTTGGTCCTCACCCGTGCACTTAAAAGGACTTATCAATGCTCTACTGCAGGCACACGTGAAAGGTTCATAAAAGGTTTATTTACAAGGGAAGGGGAAATGAGGAAATGTACAGCTCTGGGAGAAAAGTGGGAGACAAAGTTTTAAATGAGTCCTACCCGATCTGCTGATCAGGAATCCCAAAATGGCGCTCTGAGAGCTGGCCGCCAGCCAGGAGCGGTGAAGCCAGGAGGCGAGCAATCGCGAGCCAGAGAGAGCCCAAGGCCCATGTGTTTGGTTTTTTATATCCAACCTGGCTGCCCAACTCCACCCTCAGGTCCCAGCCATCCTCCCTTGGTGGTGATGGGATTTGTCTTTCCCAAAGTCTTGATGGCTTTAGTCTGGAGTGGGGGTGGGGTCCACAAAGCCTGTATGGGATTAGCTCAGGACATTATTTCCCCCTAACAACAGCAGGAATGGTGCTAGCCCAGCTGTGGCCCCCTCCACCCGCA